GAGAGATGCAAAAAGCACTGTCTCACTGTCTGTAGGTTTTGATTTATCCCATCTTAGAATCTACATGAGGGTGTTTTCTACCTCACAAAAGACACATCCCTCAAACAAGGTAGTTTCTATCTGGGAAACATCACAAGCCTTTTCATGGAGGCTGTTTTCCGCAGGGGTCGGGGATTGGGGATATTCCCACATCCCACACTTGGAACCAAAACAAAAAGACATATTCACATGACACAACTGAGTTTCAAAAGAAACCAGAAACTTCCACTTCAGCGAAGGTACCAGGTCTGAGCTGAGACACATGTAGTGGCTGAGAACTCGTTCTTCAGCAGTCAACGAGGCAGCTCTTAAACTGCAGGGAGCTCTATGCTGCTCAAATAGAAGCTCTCCCCTCACTATCTCATGCCAGAGAAACAGCATCCTCACTGTAGATTACTTCCCCCAAGAACAGAAAAATATCTGAATAATCTTTGTCAAAGAACTATAATAAAAAACAAATATGCCAAGGCTGTAAATGGACAGAATCGAATGTGGCCTCAGGTAGACTTGCAAGGAGTTACTCAGTGGCCCTCATGCCGCTTCCTTCACACCCGGGGTGTTTCTGTAAGAGTAAGAACCCGTAGGTTGAAAGCCCCAGTGGACGGACTGGCTGCAAGAGCTGCTCTGGACTCTGAATTATCGTGCTGGCTCTGAGATTATGAAAACCAGCTGAAATATTATGAAATACTATGAAAACACATCAGGGAAATAAAACCATATGGAGTGGACGTATGGGAGAATGTAATCTCCACGTTTCCTGGCGGGAATAGCGATGAGAATGGAGAAAGGCACTCCAGGCTCATGCTCTGCTCTTTCTAAAAGCAACTGTAGAGCTTCATTCGAAGCAGGAATGCAGATGTCCACATGCCCGAAACTCCGTCCATGCTCTTGGTGTGGCCTCGTCCCAGGTGTTACAAATACTTGAGTTGGTTACAGGGCAGGAGGAAAACAAATATCAAATGTGCAGAACACTGCCGTCCAAAGAGACGCCACTTCCCCTTGGGACAGCTATTTCCAGATTAGTATTCCCCCGACCATCTGTTAAAAATAATGTTTTTGTAGTGCTCGGGAGGCAAGGGCAGGTGGCTCTCCGAGTTCAAGGCCACCCTGTCTCAAAAAATCAAATACACAGACACACACACACACACACACACACACACACACACGAAAGTATTCTCAATGTGCCCATTTATTTATTGACGTATAATCATAGTACCATATATCCATATAGAATATAATTATTTTCTAATCATAACAATCAATTTTTCATTGTTAAAGGCAATATTTTAAAATAGTAACAACCAACTATTATGTACCATTAGTCCCATGCCGGGCACTGTTCTGAGTGACCCGGAGTCTTGTGAAGAACAAAGACTTCCTGTTGTGATTAGCTAATGTGTCAGTAGCAGCGAGTGCAAGCCTGAATCCCCGCCCTCTCCCGGCTTGCTTCAGTCCTCAGCAATATCTGACTGTTACCAGATGTGGCAGATTGTCCTTACTGGGGACAAGGCCATCGTTGGCGCGGGCTTGATAACTCTGAGGGACAATTCAGCCTAAATTTCGGTAACGTCATCCACCACACCACACCACACCACTCCGTTTAGTTGAGGACACAGGGGCCCAGTAATGAACCGCATTGTACCAAAGCGCAGGGATGTTTGTGCGCGCCACGGGGCTGTCCCACGTCCTGCCACACGAGGGCGCCAGTGTTAAGCGTCTGAGAAGTAGGCGTGCTGGCGTTCTCCACTCGTGAGTGTTTCCTCTTTGCACTGCCTGGTTGCTGTGACTTCCCTTCTGTACTCCCTGAGGAGGGGTGAATCAGATACACTTCTGGAACTCTGAGTGAGTGAAAAGGCACAGCCTGCCTTTCTTTGAGCTGTGTAAACAAAGCTCAGCACATCCCGGCTTCTCACGTGCTTCCTGCTGTGAAGTCAGGACGACACCTGCGGGCAGCACAGGAAGTGTTTGCGGTTGTGTCTGAGCCCTCCCTCCCTTTGTCAGCGCCTCAGGGAGGTGGACCCTTCCTGGCATCTTTGTGGTTGTGTGTGTGTGTGTGTGTATTCACCAGGATGCCAGTACACATGATGAGGGCACATGGATGGCTTCCGTTGTGCCATGCCCCAATCATGCCCCATCAGAGTGTACAGTCTGCTTCTGTCTGAAACTACTCCAGCTTCCTGTTCGGTGGATAGTTTTGTTTAGAGTTTTATTTTTGTTTAAAGAACCAAGGACACTTTTAAGCTAAGGCCCTACTAAGTTCTAACTTTACACATGAATAGAGGAAAGAAACATTTTGGCTTTGGCTTATGGAGACTGGGTTTCTCTGTGTAGCCCTGGCTGTCCGGGAATTCTGTAGCTCGGGCTGGCCTTGAACTCGAGATCCACCTGCCTCTGCCTCCTGAGCACTGGGATTAAAGGCATGCACCACCATGCCTGGTAATAATCAAAATTAGTAAAAGTTGGTGTCTAAGCACTTTTGAGAAAAGAGCATGACTTTGGGCCTAAAAGGGAACTGTGAACCGTTTGTTGCCTTCTGGAATCTTCCATTATGAGTGTGGAGAGTCGAACCCCGGGCCACTCACACATGCCAGGCAATTGCTTTACCATGGAGCCAGACCCCAGCCTTTTCCTCAGAAGAAAGGTGTGGTTGTGTATGCCTATATAAGTTGCATATAAGATTGTTGTTGATCCATGAAATAACTTAGTATATAACTGAAATTGTTTGTTTTTAAAATATTTCACTTAGTTTATTTAATATTTCACTTAGTTTATTTTCACTAATATTTTTATAAGGCCTAAGTGATTTTTACCAGATACCACCATTTCATGTCAGGAAAGGGCTTCATTCTGTTTGTCTTGGTAAATTGAGGTTGACTCCAACTTATCTCTGACAAAAACAGGCGAGGCATGTGTTGAAATGGAAGGTTAAGACAAGCCTCTCAAGAGCATATAAATCAGGAGGGTCTGGGTTTTTCAGGTGTAGAACTTGTATGCTGGTCTCAGGAACATTTTTCACATGCTACCAAGAAAGCAGTGCGAGACCACTGGCCAAGCAACTGACCCTCAGGGGAGAGTCCAGGACAAGTGCCATTGCTACTAACCAGGAAACAACTTGAAATAACACAAGTCATGCTGACCCGCAAAAGTTAGCCGAGTAGTAGGCGGGCACACGGAGTTGTCGGGTAATGGGGAGTTTGAAGATCCAGGCTGAAATCCTACCTCTGCAGCACAGCAGCAGCATTGCAGGAACAGCCTGAGTCCCAGTGTCAACCCTGGTGAAAATGAGTGCCCACGTTACGGTGGTCTTGGCGAGATCAACAGAGGCCCCATTATGTGTGTTCCCGTCTCTATTTGATAGAATTCTTTTTAGGGTGCAGATTCCTAGCTGGAATCCTCTCTTCACAATACAGCTTAAGTGACACCGCCCCCACGAATGGCCTTTTGCGACTCTTGGGGTAAAGGTGGAAACCCTTCGAGTAGACGTGGACTCATGCAGTGGCCTTGCTCTCCCGCCCTCCTGAGTCACATGACTGGTATGGTTTCCCCTTACCGGTGTGCTTCTCTGCACCGGCCTGGCGTTGTGTTCCACCCCCTTCTTACCCGTGAACTTCTCTGCTGCTCTCAGCCTAGGCCTCAGTACCAGGAACCTCCTGCTGTACCGCTCACCTCCCGTTGATTCCGCTTTTTAACCAATCTTTTATCACAGCTGTCCACCGTAGTGCATGGCGCATAGATCTCACCCGTGTGTTCTAGGGGCTTCTTGATTCACCTACTCCCTCATCTCAGCTAGGACTGCTGGTGTCTGTCACAGCGCCTGGAAGTGCTCATCTTGAAAGCCACCAGCAGGGGGAGCAGAGATGGCGGGGTGGGGTTAAAGTGTTGTGCAAGCGTGGAGTCCTGAGTTCAGATCGCCAGCTCCCACGTGAAAGCTGTGCCTGGCACCGTGTGCCTGCAGCCCCAGGAGCAGGGGAGGAGAGGTGGGACCTTCTGCTCGGCCGGGTTAGCTACAAAGCCAGCTCTACCTTTCTGCAAGCTCAGGCTCAGTGAGAAGCCCAGTCTCCGAAACTACTAGAGATGGCTCAGTGCAGACAGCTCTAGCAGAGAACCCAAGTTCGGTTCTCAGCCCCCCATTCAGGCGCCTGACGATGTCTTGTTAAGTGCGGAAACGGAAGGATCTGGCCTCTGGCCTCTGGGCATCGCCACTCATACTACAGCCACAGACCTGTAATTTAAAATCAGTCTTTTAGAGAACGTTAAGGTGGACATCAACGGAAGGCACCCAGTGTCAGCTTGCAGGGTCCGTATGTGTGAGTTCACGCACACACACACAAAGGTGAGGCGCGCACACGGGGTGGGTGTGGAGGGCGCTGGCATGAACTAAATCCGTGGTATGGGAGGGAACACACATACGAGGATGCCATCAGTTGGGGGCTGAGGGAGAGGGATGCGGGAAAGCGGACTGTGGCCGGCTGCAGATAGGGGTTGCGGTGGGCTTCAGACTCGGGGGAGACGCAAGTCTTAGGAACCGGGGATGTGCAACAAGGAGGAAGGGGCAGTCGTCCCAGGGAAAGCGCACCGAAGGGGGGAAAAGGGCCTCTTTACTACTTTGGGAAAGGGCTTTCTCCAGGGCCAACCCTAGTCTGGGACTGCAGCTTTAGGAAGGTGAGAAGTGAGGTGTGAGGGCGGGCTCCTCCTGCAGGCCTCACCTTTTTCATAAACTTCATCACAACCCCTAGGCGCCCCTTGGCAGTCACGTCCCCTCCTGCGGCCAGAGACCCGGTTACTGGCTGACTGGAGCCCCAGTGGGCGGGAGGGCTGGGCCCGCTGCATCCGTGGGTGTTGGTGGCCCCAGTGACTAACGCAAGGGCTCAGCGTTTTCACCGGGTTTAATGACTCCACGGGTACCAGGCCGAAGACAGACTTCCGACCTGACTTTTCTGTCGCTCCCTCTCCCTCCTCAGGAGTCCGAGGGCATCTCCTGCCACTACTGGTCTCTGTTTGACGGCCACGCGGGCTCGGGGGCCGCGGTGGTGGCGTCGCGCCTGCTGCAGCACCACGTCACGCAGCAGCTGCAGGACCTCGTGGAGATCCTCAAGAACTCGGCCATCCTGCCCCCGACCTGCCTCGGGGAGGAGCCGGAGGGCACGCCGGCCCACGGCAGGACCCTCACCCGCGCGGCCTCGCTGCGAGGGGGCGTGGGGGGCCCCGGCTCCCCCAGCACGCCGCCCACGCGCTTCTTCACCGAGAAGAAGATCCCGCACGAGTGTCTGGTCATCGGGGCCCTGGAGAGCGCCTTCAAGGAGATGGTAGGTCCCCGGGGCCACTCGGGTGGCTCGAGCCAAAACCACGTTGCGCCCGCACGTTTGTTTTTTCTGCAACAAAGCTTATTGAAAGTCGCGGCAAGGTGCAGTTTCTGGAGTGGTTGCCAGCGGAAATTAAGACCGTGCCCCTTCCACTTCATCAGACTCCTGTTAACGCCGGCTGGCGTGGGTCACCCTGGTTGAAATGGGAGCACGGGCCGCCGTCCGTTTCACACGTGTGCAGGGTCCGGGCGTCCGGGAAGCCGTGTTTAGTAGCACACAAGTACCCTCCCTTTAAAAGTGGGCACGGACGCGGGGCAGGCACGATTAAGCCCCGCACTTGGAGGCGGAGGATCTCCGAATTCGAAGCCAGCCTGGTCTACAGGCCAAGTTCCAGGCCCGCTAAGGCCACACAGTGAAACCCTGTCTCAACATAATGGGGTGAAGCTGGGTGCGGCGGCTCAGGCCTTTAATCCCAGCACGCAGCACGCAGGGGGGCAGGGGCAGGCAGATGGATGTGAGTTTGAGACCAGCCTGGGCGACAAAGCGAATCCAGGACAGCCAAAGCTACAAAGAGAAACCCTGTCTAGACATTTAGAAAAGAAAATGGGGCGAGGGGAGGGCTCGGTGGGTGGTGTCGTTCGCGGTGCTCAAACAATAGTGCCTAGAGAACAGCAGTGGGGAGGGAGGAGGTCGGGTGGCAGGGTTCCATCCTCCCCCCAGCCCGGATTCCTCTGCTTCGCTGCCTGGGGCGGTCCAGTCAAGGTTGGCCTGAGCGACCCCGGCTGCCCCTGTACCTGGGAGGAGGCCTTGCATACTTCCTATCACATGACTTCCTCCCAACCTTGGCTTCACTTTCTCCTGAGGCCGGGGTTGAGCTTCCGAAGATTTTTCTCCCCTGAGCGGCAACCTGTGTGCCTGAGTGGGAAACGCTGAAGGGTGTTTAGAACGACCTGCCTGGAGGGCGGCAGTCAGGGGGGCTCTTAGCACCTGAAGGTGAGAGTGGTGGCAGGCCATTCTGTGGGGGCGGCTGGCAAGGCCTCACCGCCTCACCGCCTCACCCTCCACCCTCGCAGGCCCGGACCTTAAGGCTTCGCGCAGTGTCCTAGTCGGGAAGAAAAGTGGACAGCAGCGAGCATGGTTCCCGGATTGTTGATGCAAACTGTTTCTTATAAATATAAATGTAGTCACACCTCAGGTTTACCTGCGTGTCGCTCCAGCCCATGCCTTCTTGGTCCGTTTTAATCTCTGAACACATATATTTACCCTTCGGTTAGTGAGGAGGAAAGGTGGGAAAGTTGACTCCTTGTTGGTGAATATGTCCAGACACCAGTGGTGCACAGAACTCTGGGCGTTTAACGGCAACGGCGTGCCAGAGACCTCACGGAGTCAGAAAATGGACTGAGGGCAGCGTGGGGATTTTAATTCCCGTCAGTGGTTGCTGGGGCTGCAGAACGCCTTTGCCTTGGAACTGCTGTATTCCCAATTCCGTCCACTAGAGGCCAGTGCCACATTGGTAAAGGCCTCCCCAGCCACAGCTGCACCTGAACCGCCAAGCTTACTCAAATTATTCAGAAAAATACCTAAGAAGGGCCCCCATGCTTGTCTCAGCTTTTCAACTTAAGGCAGTTCACTGCCTGGAACTTCTTGTGAAAAGTGTGTGTGTGAGTACTTACCTAAGATATGTCACTTGCGTGTAACTGATTCAGTCAACAAATATTTGCTGAGAAACAACTCTTTGTCAAGCCCAAATGGGAGTAAAATAGAGAAAGTCAGGCATTCAACAAGTGAAAAAAAAGGGGGAGAAAGAGACAGAAGGAAGAGTTGGGAGGGCAGGCACATGCTCTGTGGGGGGCTGCCACGACACACCAGCTCTGCTCCCAGGAATGCTAAGCTGATTAGGGGGACAGTTATTCCACCCATCCCCTTAGCACGTGACTCCAATTTCCTGGGGCGAGGCTCCTGCCCAGATGATTGACTGACGGGCCTGGCTGGATCTCCTCCTAAGGGAGTAGACAGTAGTGTGTAATGTTCTCGTCTTTGAAGCAGAGACAGAGATGGGATAAGGAGAAACAGGACAGTTGTTTTATTCCTTTCCTGCCGTTCTCCAGGGAGAATGAAGGTGGTACCCCTTCCTCTGTGGCCTTAAAAGCTGCTAATTCCTATAGCAACATGCCACATACCGCTCCCGATGGTGCTTTAAACCATGTCAAAGGAGGTAACAAAACAGTGACAGCAGTCCAGCATGTATTTGGAAATCCCAAGACAGAACAAGGAGCACTGGTCTCTAGGGCACATGGGTGGTTTTCACAGAACACAGAGCAGCAGAAGGAAAAGGGGCATCACTTGACCCAAAGGCGGTGATGGCAGTTCCGGCAGAAGCTCTCTGCTTCTCTGAGATGGGTTCTTTGCATCTTTAAACCCACCGTGTGAGGTGTGTGGGGAAGGTGACCTCTGACCACTCGTCCAACACTCAGTACTAAGGCTGTCGGGGACAGGGTTAGCTCCACAACTCCTTTGTTGTATCACATCTTGGATCTGATTTCTACTGGGGTGGCCGTGTAGCTGTCTCCTCCTATTTACATTGTGGAAAATGAACGGTGGTCTCCTAAAGGAATCTCAGAGACTTTAGCCACAGAACTGACAGCATAGAAACTATGTTAGTACCCTCAAAATAATATCCTGAAAGTTATTGTCACCTTATATAAAATCATTTTTCTTCCCGGCTTCTCCTGGGAATGGGGATCCTCTGTCTCAAAGGAAAGTTTGGAGATTTTTTTTTTAAGTGCCAAATGCAACCTTTTTTTTTTTTTTTTTTTTTTTTTAATCTCCAATTTCATGGGTTCAAGTCCACTTGCCAACAATGATTTTCTAACAGTGCCTGGCTCAGTAGCTAGGCTGTTTCCTGGCCTGGGATGACAGGTGTGGATGAGATAAATGTTCTGAGTCCTAGTTCCACATCCATCCTCTAAGAAGAATGTTTTCACTGACTAGACAACAGTTAAGACTACAGGGGAAGTTATTTCCACCACTGGGGTAGCTGTCAGGGAACCAAGCCAACAGTGACCCACGCCAGCAGCTTACCACCTACAGGATTTGAGCTCAGGATGGAGCTAAGAGTATCTCAGAATCCTCACCTGCTTCCTTTCAGCATTGTTAGGTAGCTAGCTGGACAGGTGTGTCTGGGCCTTTAAAGAGGGACCCCCTCCCTTGTGGCCAACTTTGGACCTCACCTGCCATTTCCTGGTAACCCTAGAAAGGGAAAAAACAAAATTGCAACAACTCCCACCCTGGTAGAATTTTAACTTATTATATAAAAATATGGAGGTGCCAAGGTTTTCTCGAGACCTATTAACTACTTCGACTTGGCCAAAAGAATGGAATCTACCTCTGGCCCAGAGTGTCGACCTGACATCCTCCTCTGCTCAGGAAATTAGAGCATTGCATGCATTGCTCCTTCCCTTGGAATTACCCAGCTGGAAGTGCCAAACACCTGTCTCCCAGGAAATATGATTCACCTGAGGACATGCCAAGGCTATGGAAGGAATAATTATCCACCTAATTAAATTAACAGAAGCCCTTCCCTCAGTCCAGGGCCGTACGGAGGCTCCACTGTGCAACCTGCCCGATCTTCCACCTCCTCCCTTCTTCCTCAGGCCTCACTGTATTTTCCCTGACACTCTGGGCTTCCTCACTCTTCTCTGAAGCTGACCTTCCCTTCTGCCATGCAGCTGTTTGCCAGCCTCCACGGCTGAACATCCTTGGATCCTAACTCAAGAAGGCATAGATCACTGTCTTCTGATCCCTCACCTGCCAAGATTTACAGCTTGCCTGTCCTGTTGTTCTTCTCTCAGTCTAAAAACAAATTGTCCTGGAGATTCCTCCTTCACTGGGGAGACAAAGAACCCAAAAGGAAACCCCAATGGTGTGGAAGTGAGGTTTTTGCAACAGAGAAGAATGTCCTAGAAGCTTTTGTAAGGGAGGGGGAAAAAGCATTTGTGGGGTTTTTTTTAGATTTGTTTGTTTATGTGTATGGGTCTTTTGTCTGCATGTATGTCTGTGTTCCAGTATGTGCAGTACCCTCCGAAAAAAGGAGTCAGCTCCCCTTGGAACTGGAGTCACAGACGGTTGAAAACAAACGCACTGTGGGTGCTGGAAAGTGAATCCCAGTCCTTTGGAAGGGCAGTCGGTGCTCTTAACCACGGAGTCATCTCTTCAGCCCCAATACTGGCAATATTTTAGCTTGTAAAATTACTCTACATCTCTATTGCTGGCAAATGTTTCGGGGTCGGGGGGGGGGGGACAAATAATGACGTAATAAAAGTGTGAGAATGAAAACCTGATTTATAATTTATGAATTCTAGATTTCAGTTAGCGTATTCCTGATAAGTTTAAAGGGTAAGCTTCTTTATTTAAGCTTAGTTTTGTTTAGTCTTTATTTTTGCTGCAAAAGGAAGATCTTTTAGGAAGGGATGGGCCTGTAATTCCATAATGGTCAGCAGGTGGCGATATTGGAAAGTCCTGGTTTTTTAGTTTTTATTTTTTAATTTTTTTTTTTTTTTTTCCCTCCTCTTGGAAACTCATTGCCTAGCTGGCAGATGGCCTTGTTCTCAGAATAAGCCAGGAAGAGACCGGATCCTAAGACCATGCTGAAGCTTATTATTTGTGACTGACACTGTTAGCAGTGTGCTCAGAACCATATTATAACCCAGCCAGGGGTAGCTGCCAGGTGTATTAAAACTGCTAGGCGCTGGCTCTCTTCTGGCCAGCAGTGCTTTCCTTTCTCAACCTAGGGCTGGTGAGCAACAAAGACTGGGCCTGGAGTTGCGTCATTTCTGAGACTTTCAAATCAGTGCAGTCATTCTGGGTAATAAATATATATATATTTTTCCCTACAATTTTTTCCTGTTGAGTGAGTGTTATTTCACACACGTCTCTGCGTCCTTTCTGTTCCCACTCCAACAACAACAACAGAAAGAGCAAATCCAAGCTGCGTATCACAAGAATTGGCTCTGAGATGAACCTCACCCAAATGTGCCGTTTAAGCAATTGCAACTCGGAATAACTCAGTTTTGCTCTGTAGAATGTTTCCTTGGATGGCGTCAGGACTGGGTTGAGCAGTCCTTGAATCAGCTCAGTGGTCCTTTGGCATTTAGAGACACATGAAAGGAATGATAGCATGTAGATGTTCTGCTAGTAAGTTATTGTAGATGACATTGCGATTTTTTTCTTTACCTAAAGTGTATAGCTTAGGCTAATTTTAAAGATTGGGGATTTTTAAAAGGAAAGGCAGCTAATTCCACAGTAAATGCATCTTATTGACTGCGTTTATCTAAATGTTTAATCTCATAGTAAAAGAGCCACCCAGATGGCCTTTTAAATGTGCCTTTTAGTACAAAGATTTTCTGAATCTTCTGGAGAGGAGTAGGTGGTGTGTGTAGGAAAAAAAATAACTGTGCTATTTTGGCTTCTAGGGAGGAGGGGAAAGCAGCAATTATTTTTAGAATCTGTTCTAGTTGCACACAGTTTTAGAAGCTATGGGGAGTGTGTGTTCAAGTCAGTGAATTCTTCAGGGGCATGAATTCTGCTGAAACATACCTTTCAAATCCCGGTGATAGTACTGGGAGAGAGCACACTTCTCATTACCGTGTGCACATGTGTGTTCCCTCACAGGTGTGTAGGAGGGGCTGGTCAGATCCTGCATGTGGGAGCAGGGTTTCTTGGATTAAACAGTAGTTAGACTTGAGTCTGTTCTTTATAAGTATCATTGCTTATTCAGAGGGAGGTACTGAAAGAATATTGAAATGTAAAAAAGGAGGAAGGAGCAAATTAAAATATGTGTGTGTGTGTGTGTAGTATCTGTTAATTTATATTAAGGTATAAGCTGTATAAACTAACCAGAATGATCCCCAGCATTAAAAGTAAATATGAACTTTACCGCTGTAACAGAACAACTTATTGTTGAATACTGTCTTGATCCTCCCTCAAGGATTAAATACTTTTGAAATCAGACATTCTTATGTAGAAGCCACAATAAAGAATGCCCCCAGTCACAACCCAGAATAAACTTCTCCGCCCCAGTCCCTAGGGATTCTTTGCCATAAAGCCCTTTAACACAGAATCGTTGTAGGGGTTTCTTTTTTTGTTTGTTTGTTTGTTTGTTTGTTTTCCTTCTGGATTGCTCTAGTGCTTCACTTAAGCCTATCAAACATCATTCCCATTCCAGTCCATATGCATCGTGCAAACACTTGAGTTCATAAAGAATTTTTAATAAATAGCGTCTTTCATTCAGACTTACATGTTCAAGCAAATATTGATTGCAGCTACGAAGGGATAATTTTCATAGCGAGAGCAGTGATTTTCAGCATGCTAGAAACAGTCGTGTTGGGTGTGGATTGGATATACTGGTTTATTGTACATTAAATGTACATGTAGTTACTATATTTAAAATGGACATATTTCAACCTTTTTAGTCTTTTGATGCAAAAAGTTAACAAGGCTCCTCACAAAAGGATTCTTTATAGTCTTGAAGCTAAACACAGAAAAATCCAGCTCTTGTGATGTTATCTCTCTCCTCCCTTCCTTGAGAGACTCTTCCCCACCTAGCTGCACATCCCTCCCACCCTTTGCCGTGAGCGAGGGCCGTGGCCTCGCTGGCCCTCGCTGGTGTCTGACTGTCCTCTGCCTGGTGGAATGTGGCATTTGTGAAGAGTTAGCCTCCATTTCTCCTGCCATGGGGAAGGCAGTAAGAAAATGTCTGGGAGATCCAGACATGTTTTAAGTGTGTTTCTTGTCATTTGTCCATGTAACAGGCATTTACTAAATCTGGTGTTTTAACTGGCCTGATACAGATGGTGAGGGTTCACAGGGGACAAGAATGGCCATTGCTCTCATTTGTGAAGTTTCTGGGCTGTGGGAAGGATCCTGTGGCTGTGGCCCCACCCCCACCGTGCCACCTAATTTAACCGTCTTAACGGTTTATAGACCATTTAAGTAAGTAAATGCTAAAACGTAATGTGGTGCGCTGAACGGCTCTCACGCTTGGCCACCGCAGCCGTGGAGCTGCTCTCCTCTGCTGCAGACTCCTCAGTTTTTCTAAATTCCCACACACATCCCGCTTCACCCTTGCCATGGCTCCTCGGCCCCTTACCCAGTTCTCTTCCAGTACGTTGGCTCCTCCATCCTGTCTTGGTATGGCTTTTTCCTTACTATATATTTGCCTTTATTTGTTTAGACAGGGTCTTGTATAGCCCTTCTGCGTCATGCTCCTGCAGGCATGTCTGACCAGATCTATCTTCTGCCTGTTTTTTAAGCAGTTGCTGCTCCATTCTGTGCCCTCAGCTTGGGAAACTACTGATGGTTGCTCTGCCATCATTCCTAACACCTAGAGCTGGTGTACAGTGCTGGGTGACTTAAATAGCCTCCCTCCTCCCTTGAGGGAGCCAGCTGAGGCAGCTAACTTCCAACTCCAAGTCACAAAAGTACACAGGAGCTCACTCTGCAGAGAGCACTGTCAGAACAGCCAGGGCCCCGTTTCCCGCTCTTGTAACTTTTACCCAACCAGCCTTCTCTCTCATGCTACCTCAACAGTGGTTGATGTCCAGTGTAGAAAGAAAAACATGTTCCACTCCTGTTTTCACAGAGACACAGGTCGTTTGGTTCTGTGGGTAACACAGACTTGTCTTGGAGCTGTCTGTCAGCGGGAGTGTTGGTCTGATTTTCATTTCTCTGAGGTGCTTCATTCTCTGGCAGGTACTACAGGTTTGGAGGAGACTCCGTTTTGGACAGGGTCTAATCTCAGTCCAGGTAGACACAGGCAGTGGCCCCCCGCTCTGTATCTGAGCAACATGTTGATGATGAGGGCCCTGTGGCCATAATGAGATCGCACATGCAGTGCGCTTAGCCCAATCCCTGATCTGGAGAAAGTGTGTGTGGGCCGCTCCAGCATCGGGTGTGCATCCCGTTGTACCTGTGGCTACGGAAGAGGAAACAGTTCAGAAGCACCTGTGTTGAATAGTGGACAGTTAATTCACTCTTTATGTCACCTCTTTTTTATTGAACTATAAAGACTGTTACTTCAAGGCTTTGCGTTAGAAACATAGCTGATGTCCAGGTAGTTGGCATTCCTAGGTTGATTCCTGTCCCACATGGCAACTCGGGCAGCTCGTGCACAGACGAGATTTCCCGTAAGCTGTGGTATCTATTAGCTGAGGCTTAGATTTGCCTCAACTCGCGTTTGCCCGATGTGTCCATGTGTCCTTTGGTCCCGGGTCTGCTCTCCAGTGGTCCGATAGGAAAGCAGGTTCTGAGGGTTGTCTGGTCCCTTCTGGAAGGACACCAGACTTAAGGCTGTGCCAAGTGAAGGACGGAAGGCTTTCCATAGGCACAAGTCCTGCACAACTTCACTGGTGTTCCCTTCTTCTCCAGGACCTGCAGATAGAACGAGAGAGGAGTGCGTACAACATATCCGGCGGCTGCACGGCCCTCATCGTCCTTTGCCTTTTGGGGAAGCTGTATGTGGCGAATGCTGGAGATAGCAGGTAAGCAAGCTAGCTCTCCGGTCCTTGCTAGCATCCAGTTCCTCTGACAGTGTCTACCTGCTCCTTAATTAAACGATTGGAAAGGAAACTGTTTTGGTTGGGATTAAATGTGACAAGCACGAGTTTCCTACATTAGGACAGAAATGCATTTGGTTGTTTGGTCGGTCGGTCAGTCGGTTGCTTTTTTGAGCAGGGTTCAAAAAAGGGTTGACACAGGGTTTTTCTGTGTCACCCTGGCTGTGCTGGAGCACTCTGTAGAGCAGACTGGCCTTGAACTCAGAGATCTGCCTGCCTCTGGCTTCCACAGGCTAGACATGCATTCAAGAACAATCGGGTCGTTCGCTATTGAAGGGCGAGGGCTTTGTGACTTGTTCATACTCACAGTTGGGGCATGCCCTGAGTCAGTCTAATCCAGGAGTGCTCAAACCCGGTTGATGGCTTTGGAACTTGATTGTCAGTAAAAAGCTTAGCAGTGTAAAATTTTGCCCTGTAAATGGCAGGGTATTTAAGACACTGTTTGTCCCATGGCTCCTGCTCCCCAGTGGGCATTGAGGTTCGGCAGCTGGGATGTCTCAACACTGGATGAAGAAATGAATGGGGGCCAACCAGAGCTGAGTGGCCTCAGGAAGGAGCTGGCCATCCTAGCCTTACAGGGGCAGGGCAGGGAGAACCACTAGTATGTAAGCAGTAGGCCAGAGCCACAGGAAGCCTTGAAGAAAAGCACTTTCCTCTCCTGTGTCTCTCCAGGCTTCTTACTGGTTGAGCCCACTGGGCTCTAGCCAGCCAGCAGGTGGCACCGGGACTGTATGGAGGTGAGCATGCCAGGCACAGACAATGTCAAGGCTGGGCCTAGTGGAAAGCAGTCACTTCCTTCCTTCTTTGCATAACCAAGAGTTTACCAGCTTCTGCACAGAAATCAGTGGCGTGTAAATGGGCACTGAGGGGGTGGGGGACTTCTTGTTCAGTTCTGGAGATGGCAAACAGAAGTGGTGGCTCAGTTCCGCCCTGAGAGACTGCACGTGTGAATCGGCCACGTGCTCACACTCCCCGTTTGCCTGTATGTCTCAGCCCTAGTCTGTTAATGTTAGTCCTGGTGCCTGACGGTCCAGGCCTCAGCACCTCCTTCCGGGTGACCTCAGGTCCCGAAGTGGACTCCATGTCAGTGTCCAGAATGCTTTTAGTGCAGATAATCCTTCTTCAAAACTGTAGCTCTTCTTTAGTGCACCGCCTGTATTTTTTTTAGTACAGCCTTTGCTTTGGGAGCCATGGTCTCTTTCAGCCAGGCCTAACCAAGTGATGGCTTATGCAGTCCCAGAAACTCCCTGCCCAGGACCTTGTCAGTTCCCAGTGTTCATGTTCCCAGTGTTCAGTTCATTTTTTTTTTTTTTTTTTACCATGAGTTTCCAGACCTTGGTTTTCACATGCATAAATGTACTGGCATTGGACCACATGACATCTAGAATTTATGGCTTGCTAAAGGTTAATCTAGGGGAACGATACTTTTGAAAAGTAAAGTCATGCTACTTTAGCCAGTCTTTGTGACATTTCTTTGTGAAATGTCATCTTTCTTAGAGCCTGTTGTTAAATTATTAATGTAACCAAGGCCCCCATTTTTCTAAGTGCCCATAAAAATGTTTTACATTTATTTCTAATTTTAAAAGCCTAATAAATACCCATTTTCTTAATAAAGCTATGATTCACAGAGTAAAAATTATCCTACAACCCAGGAAGCTTAAATTATATTTGTGGTTCTCAGACCCCAGTGTCCAAATACAAAGTTGGGGTTTTATAGCTAATTGGTTGGGTTTGGTATCCACATGTGGAACATAATTCATAAAGGACAATAGGAACTGGTGTTTTATTACGCTATTCAAATGATCGTTTATGGAATACTTACTCCTTGAGATGTTGCCTGCAGCTTTTTCAAGAGTGATAGAAACTGAAGTCATCTTAGACCATCATTGCCTGCTCTGTTTACTAATGATGTATCTTAGGTTCTTCAGCTGAAAGCACTGTTATTCTCAGGAAAGAACTACAGTGTAATCATCTTCATATCAAGACTGTAGGTTATCATTTGTGAACGAGCAGTCAGGAATCCAAAGATGAGGAGGAGGAGGGTTAGAGCTGAGAGAAAATGCCCGCAACAGGGCCCTGATTAATTAAGTGCTAATTTTTTCTATTGTTAGATAATAACTGTCATGTGTTTATACATTAAGGCTTAACAGTTTGTAGGGTGAAAACAAACCTCTGTTGTGTGTTCCCTGCCGTGTAATTACCTTCAGAATAGAATGAAAGAAGCCGTTCACTCGTTTGGTTGAGGCCGCCCGTGGTCAGAGTATTTTCTGGGTCACTTATCTGTATGTCATCTGCTTTACCATCAGGCTTTGAGTGTGCCCCGGGGTTGTCTTCAGGAAATGCTGCTGGGAGTGTCTGTGGTTTACCAGTGTTTGACTCAGTGTCATCTTCCGTGCACAGTGGTGGGTGACTCACCCACAGTGGGCTGGCCCAGAGAAGACACAGACTTCCCTTGGCTGGTTAGCCGGAGCTCACCAGCCATCTGGAAACATGCAGCGACTGCATGATTCTCAGTTCCTTATCTCTCCCAGCAAAGGTAGTCAACATCTCGGGATCCAAAGGGATTAGCAGAGAAGCAGGTGGTGGGCAGATTTTCACTCTGAGCGAAAATGAAGCAGGAGCATGGAGATGTCATGCGAAGCAGCGTGAAGACTATATCACCCATTGTGTTTGAGTCATCAGCTCTTTGGGGTTGTGCTCTTCTTCAGTCTAGGAAGGTGCTCTGGCTCCATTTTAGAAGATGATTTCATTTCGTTTCTAGAGAACTAGGCACTGAGGAAGCAAAGCCATTACTGCTTATTTCAAACAATGTCTAAAGGTTTGGCAACTGAGACTGGGTGAGCTCATTCAGATTAAAGAAAGGCATTTAAGAATCATTAACGTCTTGATTCCATGCTTGCAAGGATTGTAATAACAGGCAGCAGTGAGACAGCCAAGTGCTAGGCACTTGATTAATACTAGAACAAGATCACGTTTAATTCTGTCAATAGTAGAGTGAAAAGTAGGAATTCCTAATGTCAGATACATGCGGTTTATGAGAATCAGTTTTCTCAAGATCCCTAGCTATTAAGGAGCAGAATCCAGGACTGGAGTGAAAGAGTCAGGTCCTCGGGTACTGCATTCATCCTCCCATCTGTCCATCTGCCCACACTAAGACTTAATCTGAGCATCGCTAAGGCAAGAATTTCTAGTTAACATTTTAACTCCCCGTCTATCTCTTGAAACACACTTCATAACCAGCAGCATCTCTGGGTTTACCCAGAATGGATTACACATATAAGTAATTGGATAGCTACATTTAGAAACTTTTTATTTTTTATTTTGGAGACTGAGTCTATGTAGCCCAGGCTCGCCTTTACCTCCTCATTGTCCTGTCTCTCTTTTCTGAGTTCCGGGATTATGGTAGTCATACATCACCATGCCTAGCTCCCAGAGATTAATGTAAATGGGTTGCGTCTGTCTAGTTATTTTTCTATCACTGTGATAAAACACCATGGCCAAGACACCATATAAAAGAGTTTATTTAGGAGGTTTTGAAGAGGTCAAGTCTATGACCATCGTAGCAGGAAGTGTGACCTCAGACAAGCACGGTAGCACGGTGCTGGAACAGTAGCCTAGAGTGCCGTCTCCATCCCTAAGTAGGAGGCAGAGAGAGAAAACTCAAAGCCCAACCCCCTGACACACCTCCTCCAACAAGGCCGCACCTCCTAATCCTTCCCAAACAATTCTACCAACCAGGAACCAAGTATTCAGATACATAAGCCAATGGATGTTCCTTCAGATCACCAAAGCAGATAGGCTTTGAGTAACCCAGCCTGTCCTTTCCTAGTGTAGAGAAAGGTGTTCTTCAAAACAAGAACAGTCAGCTTCCTAAAGGTCACAGTGCTGAGACCAGTTTAAAAGTTGTGTTTTCATTTTGAAGATAGCCTGTTGAATCAGTGTAACTTGCCTCTCAACCTCCAATACCATTGAGTTTTTAAAAAGAAACAAAGAAAATCACATGCAAAAAAAAAAAAAAAAAAAATCTGATGCTGTTTTAAGTAAGTTTGTGACTATGTTGACAGTGTTCACAGTCTTCCTCACTGGGTACAATCCAATGGGGCATGGGTTAGACACATCATTCTAATTGCATCTTGGAAGTTGGGCCAGCATGGTGTCCTTTCAGTTTTCCTTTCACTCGTTTTTCAGTTTGCAGAATTTTCCCATTTAACTTAAAGCTTTCTCTGTTAGGTCAGAGGTGAATTCCTACAGCAAGTCTGAGCTTTCTTGAGGATAGGATTTAGATTATTAAACAAGATTTACATTTCTAAATTCGAAACCAATTACACATCTCTGGTGTCTCCTCTCACAGGCCTCTCCCCTCTGCTGCTGGAAAGATAATGAGACATTATGTAACTGCCTCAGGCCCTGGAGACAGTAAAGGACCATGCAGTCTTATTTTTATGTGCCTGTGTTTCACCAGTGGGCAGTGCAGCCCTTTCATCCAGCTCCTCGTTGCTTTAAGTGCCTCATCTGCCCGTGCCCACCAGCCTGCCCCTTTGATAGGAGCCTTTCTCTGAGTGCGGAAATACACATGGTCGGCTTCCACTGGCTGCTTGGGGTCTATTACACCTCTCGTTTTCTTTGACATATATCTAAAAATCCAGCACAGAACCAAGATGAAACACCGTTCTCCACTGTGCAAGTTAAATGGGCTGTTTCTGCCGTTTTTTTGTTTTGTTTTGTTTTTGTTTTTTTTGTTTTGTTTTAATCTTAGCACTATCCAAATCCTGTAGAAGGGATTAGGAGTAAGCAAATAATACAGTCAGACGAGGACAGATACACAGAGGCAGACCTGTGTTTTTCCTGTGGAGGCCTTGTAGGCCACACACAGGGCTCCAGGACATGCCTCGTCTCCTCAGCATGTGGTTCCCTAAAGCAGCATC